CGTTCTCATGTTAGCCAACCTGGCATATGCTGCTGATGTTATCCTCTTGATATTAGTTTCAGGGGACAGGTCTGGCGTGATATCAACCCCTAAGTCTTTCTCTCTCTCTGACTCTTGAAGTATCTCATCTCCCAAATGATACCTTGTATCTGGTCTCCTTCTTCCTACCCCTATCTTCATTACATTACATTTGCTTGGGTTAAACTCTAACAGCCATTTGTTCGACCATTCCTGCAGCTTGTCCAGGTCTTCTTGAAGCCTCAAGCTGTCCTCCTCTGTGTGTGTGTGTGTGTGTGTGTGTGTGTGTGTGTGTGTGTGTGTGTGTGTGTGTGTGTGTGTGTGCATACTTACCTATTTGTACTCACCTATTTGTGTTTTCGGGGATTGAGCTTTGGCTCTTTGGTCCCCCCTCTCAACTGTCAATCAACTGGTGTAAAGATTCCTCAGCCTACTGGGCTCTATCATATCTAAATTTGAAACTGTGTATGGAGTCAGCCTCCACCACATCACTGCATAATACATTCCATCTGTTAACTACTCTGACACTTATAAAGTTCTTTCTAACGTCCTTGTGGCTCACTTGTATACCAACTGTTCAGTATACAAGGTTCTGAATGATTCCTGATACAGGTTCCTGAAGGCTGTTCTGATGTTAGCCAGCCTCGCATATGCCGCAGATGTAATTATTTTTATGTGGGCTTCAGAAGACAGGTTTGGTGTGATATCAACTCCTAGATCTTTATCTCTATCCGTTTCATTAAGTACTTCATCTCTTATTTTGTATCCTGTGTCTGGCCTCCAGTTTCCACTGCCTAGTTTTATTACTTTGCATTTACTCGGGTTGAACTTTAGCAGCCATTTGTTGGACCATTCATTCAGTCTGTTTAGATCATCTTGTAGCCTCCTACTATCATCGTCTGTTTTAATCCTCCTCATAATTTTTGCATCATCAGCAGTGAGAGGAACGAATCTATACCCTCTGGGAGATAATTTACATATATCAGAAAGAGTATAGGTCCAAGGACTGACCCCTGCTGAATTCCACTGGTAACGTCTCGCCAATCTGAGATCTCACCCCTCACAGTGATTCGCTGTCTTCTGTTGCTTAGGTACTCCCTTATCCAATGGAGTACCTTCCCTTTCACTCCTGCCTGCATCTCCAGCTTTTTCACTAGTCTCTTGTAGGGTACTGTGTCAAAGGCATTCTGGCAATTCAAAAACATGCAGTCTGTACACCCCTCTCTTTCTTGCCTCATCGTAGAATTCAATTAATCCTTTGAGGCAGGACTTGCCATCCCTGAACCCATGTTGATGCTGTGTTACAAAGTTCTTTCGCCCCAGATGTTCCACTGGTTTTTTTTTCGCACAATGTTCTCCATCAGCTTGCATGGTATGCAAGTTAGAGACACTGGCCTGTAGTTCAGTGCCTCCTGTCTATTCCCCTTCTTGTATATCGAGACTACATTAGCCGATTTCCAAATTCTTGGCAGTTCCCCTGTTGCCAGTGATTTGTTATACACTATGGAGAGTGGCAAGCACAGTGCTTTTGCTCCTTCCTTTAGTATTCAAGGGGTGAAATTCTATCTGGGTCTATCTTCTTGAGGTTATCTTAAGGTTATCTTGAGATGATTTTGGGGCTTTAGTGTCCCCGCGGCCCAGTTCTCGACCAGGCCTCCACCCCCAGGAAGCAGCTGTGATAGCTGACCAACACCCAGGTACCTATTTACTGCTAACTATATAGCCTTTGTCTATAGCCTTTGTCTATAGCTATGTCTATAGCCTTTGTCACATCCAACTCTAGTAAAAGCTTCCTTACTTCCCCACTGGTAATCTCAAACTCTTGTAGTGGTTCGATCCTGGTTAACTATTCCCTCTCCTATTTCTGGAATTTCTCCTAAAATTTCTTATTCAGTTCCTCACACACTTCCTTGTCGTTTTTAGTGAATCCTTCTGCCCCTATCCTTAATTTCATTACCTGTTCCTTTACCGTTTTTTCTCTTCTGATGTAGCTGTGCAGCAATTTAGGTCGAGTCTTTACCTTACTTGCGATGTCATTTTCGTATTGTCTTTCTGCCTCTCTTCTCATCCTGACATATTCATTCCTGGCACTCTGGTACCTTTCTTTGCTCTCAAGTGTTTGTTATTCCTATAGTTTCTCCATGCTTTTTTACTTTGCTGCTTAGCTAGTCTACATCTCTGATTAAATCATGGGTTTCTCATCTTCATTTCATTGTTTTCCTTTTGGACTGGGTGATACTGCCCTACTGGGGCGTAACCGGGTTCTTTTCTGGTGTTATTAGAATTTGGGAATCCGGCCCCAAGTTAGTAGAGGCTTTCAAGGGATGTGTTCCGTAACGCAAGTTAACTTAAAGGGGGAGGGATACAAATGTTCTGATTTATATATATTATTTTACCACCACCATAAATAAATATATAACAGTCACACGGGGTTATAACTACACTCTAATGTACAGAATTGTCTTCCTCCGAAGACACTGGATGCTCCACGGTGCTCACGATGAGTAGCCCTGGTTCTCTTCTTCGGCCCACGAAGAATCCTCTTTGATTCTCTCGGCGAATCTACCCTGGCCACAGGCCACCCAAATCACAGTCCCACTGGGTGCTTCGTCGTGGAGGCCTTCAACCACAATCCAGCCTGTAGCTGGCAGGTTCCGATCAGCTCCGTTGTGTAGGCCACTCCATGACCGATACTAGGGTTGCAAGCCCTAGGGAGGAGCCTCGTGTGATCCCACTGATCACCCTCCTCTCTAAACACCCCAGTGGCTAGTCTCTTCCACCAGCCAGCCCCGGATAAGGCGATTCCTGATACTGCCACGTCACAAGCAGGCTAACACTCTCAACAGTGTTCGTCCGGGGGTGACTCACTGCTTCTTCAGAGCAAACTCGTGGAGAGACTTTGGCTGCCTTGGGTAGACTGATCCATCGTCCAATACAGCAGTCCCAGGTCGACTCTGTAATCAGACACGTCATTAGTACTGGGGCTAGGGAACCTCACTTACAGGCTTAGACACAAACGTCCACCTATCCACTCCATAGATGGCGTTGCTGTCTAAGCGCCACCTCACCAGAGGTCAGCAGTGGCTATGTTATGAGCTGATTAAGACGGGAATCCAGCACCTGTGGCCGGTATATCCCGTCCTCACTAGATGGCGTCGTCCATTTGGAGGGAGTTTCGGGAGCGGACTCACAGATGGCGTTGTCGTCACTGCTCCGTGCTACGACGCTGGACTTGGGTCCGTAACACTGGGACAAACTTGTTCGCTGCTTCCTTGCACTTCTGCATGATGTAGTCCATCATGTCTTGGGCCGTCTTTCCCCTGAGCTCTGTTTCCCATGTTGTATCTGTTAGGAATTTTCTTATCTCCTCATAGTTTCCCTTTTGGACTGCCAGCCTTTTGTTTTCAGTACCCCTCCTCGAGTTCAATAACCCTTCTTCAACCAGATATTCAAACACCAGTACACTGTGGTCGCTCATTCCTATTGGGACCACAAAACCGATTTCCCTTATGTCAGAGTCGTTCAGATTGAAGACCAGGTCAAGTCTTTCTGGTTTATCATTTCCTCTCATGCTTGTGGGTTCCCGGACATGCTGCCTTAGAAAGTTTCTTGTCGCCACCTCCATTAGTTTGGCGTTCCATGTATCCTCTCCTCCATGCGGTTCCTTGTTCTTCCAGTCTATCCTTCCATGATTGGAATTCCCCCATGATGAGCAGATGGGATCTGTTTCTACTGGCAGCAGAGGCTGCCCTTCACAATTATAGTGTTAACTGCCATGTTGTTGTTGTCATACTCTTGCCTTGGTCTTCTGTCATTTGGTGGAGGGTTATATATCACTGCTACTACTAATTTTGGTCCTCCCATTGTTATGGTGCCTGTTATGTAGTCTCTGAATCCCTCGCAGCCCGGGATAACCATCTCTTTGTCTTCTATACTTAACCATAACCACTCCCCCTCCTCCCCTTCCTTCCCTCTCTTTCCTTATAACACTGTAGTCCTGGAGAAACATCGCATTCGTTATGATTCCTAAGAGTTTTGTTTCTGTGAGTCTGATTACATCTGGGTTCACTTCTTGTGCTCTTTCCCCTTAGTTCACTTGCCTTGCTTGTGTTTCCATCTATGTTCCATGGAACATCAAACATGTGTGCGTGTGCCCTTGTGTGTTGTGTGTCACGAGGGCTCCTTATGTGTCATCTTCTACCTGGAATGAACCACTTTGAGATATTAAATATATATGATATGCTAAACAAGATTTTTACGTTATTTTACCTCACTCTGTACACCAGATAAATGACTTAGGAAGCAGTACATACCAGCCAAGTCCTCCCGCTTGCGCAAACTAGGCCAATATATAATGTGTTCCTTATGTGAAGGTCTGTCGGTAATCCTGTCCTGTTTCAGTCTCCACGTGGATGTTGCTCTGTCCACTAAGTGCCAGTAGACTGGTGCTGGTGGGTATTCTCTGTTTAACACAAAGTTATAGAGTCATTCACTGTATCCTTATATCTGTTGTGTTACCATTCACTATATCACTGTTCACTACAGTCCAAGTATACCGAGATAGAAATCTGTAAACATGGGCCTTGGACTGCATGGGCACTGCTCTCCCATGCAGTCTGGTGCTGGTGGTTGTTCTCTATTTAACACAAGGTTCTAGTGACTTCACTGTATTTTTTCTTTCCTAAGTGTGGTTATACACTTTGTGATAACTGTGTTCCATTCTCCATCACTGTAATCCTAATATGTCTGAGTATATTCAGGATTATTTGTGGAGCACACAATCCCACGACCCTCCCACACGTTGACGATGGCGATGTGTCGTGTGTGCGTTCGTGGTACTTTATTCAGGGAAAATAAATAAAACATTAACCACCATTAACCTTACCAACTGTGTTAAATTCATGAATTTTCTCAACAGTTTCACTAATCTCTCTCACTACTGCATTGACTGCCTCATCTCCATCTCTTCCTTCTCTGTTTAGAATTCGGTTTGGTGAGGTGTTTACTGCGGTCCAGCATCTTAGCCTTCGAAGTGGTGGTTGGGCTGGCAGTGCCTGATTTTGGTAAGATCCTGAATCTGATTGGTGGATCTACGGTGACAATGTGCTCATTTGTACTCCCGCCTCTGATGTACATGAAACTCGTCCATGCGAAGCACGAGTCCAACTGGACAAAGAGGTAAGTACGGTCAAGCTGAGTCCTATGTAAAGAAAGATCAGTTAATTCTTCGGTGAACAACACTCAGCAGATTTTACAGGAAATTTAGATCATATGATTCTGATGTAAGCACTGGCAGCTGACCTTCGGGTCAGGTTATCTTGAGGTTATCTTGAGACGATTTCGGGGCTTTTTAGTGTCCCCGTGGCCCGGGTCAACACAACTCAGCTCATGTTGACCTTCAGTCATTAGCTAACACTGGGAAAATAGACAAAAGCTCTCTGCAGGTACTTGGGTCCTGAAAATATACATCAAAATTTAAAGATATATTACCTTATTTATACAAGAATAATTAATACGTCTGTAATTTCTTTGTTCAATATAGATGGGTAACTTATAACAACTATTAATATCAGCTGATTTAATAATCGCCTAATCAACTAAAACTTAAGAAAATATAGTTAGGATAAATCTAAACTCGAAGGAAACTTGATTTTACATTAAACAAGGTCATTTTATGTAATAATCGATATGATTAGTCATTGATTCCTCATCACACACTGTTACCTCAAATCTCCCCCCCCCCTTACTCACACCCCACCATCACCCTCAACCCTGCCTCATGTACCCTCTCTAACTCACACCTCATCACCACTCTCTAGTACCCCACCCGCCATCACTGGGATATTGTTAATAAAAAATAACACGAGTTGTTTTGTACATATAATTAACTTACGTGTATTATAATATGAATAATGAATATACTAATATAGTATATTCCTTTATATTAAACTATAACCATTTCACCTATGAGTGATAATTGGTGTCACTAATCCATCGAACGGTGGTAATGATGAGCTCATCATTATCCTCATATATCATTATTATCATCATATATCATTATTATCCTTAGGCTCATAATGATGAGTCCTAAGGAACTTCTATAGGGGCACTGATTACCACTCAAAGCACATATAATTTATGTGCCAATTTCCAAAGAAGTAGGATATCATAGCGTAGTGACTGAAAATTTAACCCTAGGCTACAACCATCAGTACTTTATGAGCAAGTATCCAAGCTACATTAGCAACAATATTATGAGCCCTGTAAAGCTTAACCAAACAGTCAGTATGGCTACTCCAGAAAAATTGAAAAGGACCCTAACTGGATTTAAGGGTCGATTAACCAGAGTAATAAATATCAAGATCTGTCTCAACAATCTCCAGTTGATCATATTCAACTGGAAACGTACTCATTCTTGCTTGTTGCTACTTGTAAGTAAGTCAAATTCCAGATAGATTTTTTGGGGTTGAACTTGCCAGCACCAAGTTATCTGAAACAGAAGTAGGTGATATTATGGCAGAACCTGGCCCAATAGAAGGATGATACTCAAGCCAGACTGAATATTTTCATCAAGTAATTATCAAAAGAAGGCACCAAACTGGGAAGGCTATGTAGCACCATCAAATGTGCGGAATAATCAGAGGGCACTAAATATCACCAAGGATGCCAATTCGAGAACAAAATCGCATAAGGTGAACGATATCAAAAGTATCCGTGTCACCAAGAATTCTATTGAGGGACAGGAGGGGCGGTCGGAAAGCAAGACACATGCTCAGCCTGGAAGTCAGGACATTCAAGAAGGACATGCACGACCGTAAGAGGGACAATGCAGTTAGGACAATAAGGAGCAGGGCGGCGCTCCATCAAGTGACCATGGGTTAAGTGAGTATGGCCAATACGCAACCTCGCCAGAGCTGTTTCCCATCGCCGGTTATGGTGGTAGGAGGACGGCCACGAGGAAACACAACATTTAAGAGTATGTAGTTTGTTACCAGTAACAGACGACCAAGAAGCCTGCCAACGGGTAAGGATGGAGGAATGGATAACCGGGTAAAAGTCGGAATATGGAATACCTTTATGAGAGATGGGACAAGAGCGGACAGCTTCCGCTCTTGAAGCTGAAGAAACAGCCAATGCTGGATCTCGACAACTACTGGATGAACTGGATTAAAGGACCCGAGAGCCATGAGGGCACTACGAGAGTCAACAACAACTACAAAGGAAGACTGACAACGAGAAAGCAGGAGACGAAGAGCATTGAGAATAGCATAAAGCTCCGCTGTAAAGATACTAGTCTCCGGAGGTAAGCGACACACATAAGTGCGATCAGGAAAAACAACAGAGTAGCCAACACCATCCGCAGACTTAGACCCATCGGTGAAGACAGAAACGGAGCGGGAGTGAGAAGCAAAGTGCTCAAGGAAAAGGCGTTTTAGAACTGTAGGAGGGGTAAAAGCTTTAGTGATGCGGGTCAAGGATGTACAAAACTGCGAAAGGGGGACTCTCCACGGGGGCAAAGAAGGAACAACACGAGAAACATTAGAAACACGAACGGAAAGAGAATCCTGTAAGCGAGATAACCAGACAGAAAGAGGGAGGCAGTGATGAGGAACAGGAACCGCAGGAGGGGTAAAAGTTTAAGCATGACAGAGGCGAGAGGAAGGATGTTGTAAGGACCCCGCAAGATAGCGGAGACAGTAGTGATCACGGCGGTCCTGGAGAGACAGGAAGCCAGTGTCAACATACAACCTGAGGACGGGAGCCGAACGAAAGGCACCAGAACTGAGGCGCAACCCAGTATGGTGCAAAGCATCAAGACGGCGAAGAGTAGAAGGAGAAGCAGACGAGTAAGCAGGGCAACCATAATCGACCTTAGACAGGACGAGAGAGGAATGTAAAGCAAGGAGAGTGCGCCTATCCGCTCCCCAAGAAGTATGGGACAATACCCGAAGGAGGGTAAGGGCCTTAGAGCACTCAACACGGAGGTAAGAGATATGGGGAGACCAAGACAAACGAGTGTCAAGGAATAACCCCAAAAGCTTCGCGGAATCTTTGTACTCAAGGGGATGACTATAAAGTGACAAAGAGGGACGAAGAGGGACCCGTTTCCGAGTAAAAGACATGGCACAATTCTTAGATGTAGAGAACTTGAAGCCATGATCGGTGGCCCAAGACGACACGGCATCAATCGCAAGTTTAAGCTGGCGCTGAAGGAGAGGCGAATCATCACCCTGACAGCAAAGGGTAAGATCATCGACATAGAGAGGGGAGAAGACACCTGAAGGAAGAGAGGAAAGAAGACCATTGAGGGCAACCAGAAAAAGAGTAGTGCTCAGAACACTACCCTGGGGCACACCTTCGTACTGCTGAAAAGAGGCAGAGAGAGCGGTATCAAGGCGCACCTGAAAGGAACGACGAGAGAGGAAGCTGCAGAGAAAGAGAGGGAGATGGCCACGAAGGCCAAAAGAATGAAGCCGAGATAGAATATGATATTGCAAAGTGGTGTCGTAGGCCTTTTCCAGGTCAAAAAGGACGGCAACAACGGAGGTCCTCGCAGCAAAAGCAGTACGAATATAGACCTCCAAGTTCACCAGGACATCTGTCGTGCTGTGGCACTTGCAGAAACCAAATTGAGAAGAGGAGAGGAGGTGATGGTGTTCCAGGAACCACATCAGACGAACGTTAACCATACGTTCAAAGAGTTTGCAGACACAACTTGTGAGGGCAATAGGGCGAAAGTCCTTAGGGAAAGTTCCCAGAGACCCCGGTTTGCGAACAGGGAGGACAACGGCATCGAGCCAGTCCTCAGGGACTGACGACGACTCCCAGATACGATTATACAGACTCAGTAAATATTGAGACGTGCCCGGAGGGAGATGGCGAAGCATCTCATAATGAATACCATAAGAGCCCGTCGCTGTAGAATCACAGAGGGCCAGGGCAGAACGAAGTTCAGAGAGAGAGAAGGGATCGTTATAGGAAAGTCGAAGACGAGTGCAGAAATCTAAAGGACGAGACTCAAGGACAGGTTTACGAAGAAGGAAAGATTGGGGAAGATGAAGACCAAAGCTAACAGAAGAAAAGTGTGAACCCAGTTCGGTAGCAACCTGCAACGGGTCCGCCACAAGAGTACCACGGAGGTGAAGGACCGATGAAACATCGGGAACGAACTTACCCGCTATCTTGCAGATACTCTTCCAGATCTGTAGCAGAGGAGTTTAGGACGTAATTGTCGAGACATAAGATGCCCAACATTCACGTTTAGCCGTATGGATGGCCCTCCAGGCCACCGCACTCGCTTTTCGAAAGAAAAGAAAAGAATCGGCCGTCTGCCGACGGCGGTGCCTCTTCCAAGGCTGCACGCTTACAGCGGATAGCCCGAGCACAGTCTGCATTCCACCAGGGAACGCACTTCCACGGACCCTGAGAGGAAGAGCGAGGAATAGAGCGGAGGGCAGCGTCGAAGACATTCTCATGAAAAAGGAGGAGAGTGCGAGGGAGAGGCAGAAGGGAGAGGTTAGAGAGAGCAGCACTGAGGGTAAAGAGGTTCCAGTCCGCTTTAGCAAACTGCCACCTAGGGAAGGAGAGGGAAGGACGAAAAGAGAAAAAGGAAACAAGGATGGGGAAATGGTCACTGCCATGGAGGTCATCAAGAACCTGCCACGTGAAGTCTATGTAAAGAAAAGAAGAGCAAAGAGAAAGATCAAGACAGGAAAGGGTGCAAATCTGAGAGTCCAAATGAGTGGGCTCACCAGAATTCAGAAGAGACAGGGAAGAAGAGAGGAGAAACGGCTCAAGAAGGCGACCCCGGGTATTCGTCAGAACATCACCCAAAGAGAATGACTACAATTGAAATCATCCAGCAGGAGCACAGGCTCCGGCAAGGAGTCCAGGAGGTGTTTCAGATCAGGAAGAGAAAGCGGGACACTCGGGGGGAGATAAATGGAACAAATTGTGTACCATTTCCCCACAAAGATACGAGCAGCAAAACAATGGAGAGGCAAAGGAAAAAGAAAGGGGACAAAGGGAACATCAGTGCGAATCAAGAGAGCAGAAAAATTAAGAGCCCCAGCAACAGCTGGGGGGGGGGGGCAGAGAAAGGAATAGCCACAAAAACAACCAGGACGAGCACCAAGCATCGGCTCCTGGAGACAGACACAAAGGGGCGAAAACCGCAAAATCAGAAGTTGGAGTTCGAGGAAATTGGCGTAATAACCTTGAACGTTCCATTGAGGAATAGACATAAACGAGAAGAGAAAGGACAACAACAGAGAACAAGGAAGAAACAAAGGCGAAAGAGCAACATAGCACGTTAAAGAATATCAGGGTCGGGATCAGGGTCAGCAACGTCAGGGTTAGGGGGCATAGGTAAACTGAGCAAAGACGGAGGGAAGGAAGAGGGAGAACAGACCAGAGGGGGCGGGCAGGGTTCGGAGGAGGAGGAGGAAGAGGAGAAGACAACGGAGAGGAGCAGTCAAGGACAGCAGCAGGAAAAGGGGGAGTAGAAAGAGGGGAGCGCACCTCAGCAAGGGCAGCAACCGAGAGGGAAGCGGGGGCCAAAGAAACCTCCATAGCAGGAACAGGGGGCGCAACCACCGAAATGAGAGGGGAAGGAGCGATAGAGGCAGAAGTAGGGGCCGAGGAAGAAAGCGAAACCTTCTTACCCGCCAGGGAGGAGGAAGGAGAGGATCCAGGCTTATGCTTCTGACGTAAAGAGACAGGCGTCCCAGCAACTTCGTACTGGGCAACGGATTCCAGCGTCTCAACAGAAGCTGAACGAGAGCGCACACGATGGCCGTTTGGAGAGCGATGGACATCAGCCCGCACCGACAGGCGGTGGGGAGAGTCAAGAGACGGAGGGGAAGGATGGGAAGGAGGAACAGGGGGAGACGAGGAAGAAGACACAGGAGACAAGACAGACCAGGTAGAAAGAAGGGGAACCCCAGACAGAGGACTAGGAGGTGGATCCTTCGGGTCAGAACTCAAAGGAACAGAGGCGGGGGCAGTGGGCGTATCAGGGTCCAAGGCCTGGAAACGGTTGTGAGTCTGAGGAAGGTGGGAAGGATGAGGAGAGGAAGAGCGCAACACGCGAGCATAAGAGATATTAGCATAAGGCGGGAGCCGGCGAACCTGGGGCCTCGCCTCAGGAAAAGATAAACGCTCCCGGTGCTTCAAGTTGAGGACGGCTGCCTCAAGCTTGTAATGGACACACACACGGGAGAAGGTAGGATGGGCCTCACCGCAGTTAAGGCAACGAGCCCGGGGAGAAGTGCACTCCGACTTAGAGTGACCTTCGCCACCACACAAAGGACAGAGAGAGACAGTCACAGAGCAGCGGAGGGCACCATGCCCAAACCTCCAGCACTTGTTACGGAGCCGAGGAGAAGGAATGTACTCTTGGACAGAGCACCTGGCACCAGCAAGAATGACAGAGGATGGAAGGGTCCTACCATCAAAGGTAATCTTCACAACCCGGAGGGGTTGACGGTGACTACCACGAGGGGGACGAGTAAACGTGTCCACCTGGAGAATAGAATGGCCCTGGGCATCAAGGATATGTCGAATATCGTCGTGGCAGTCTCGCAGATCCCGAACACCGGTCGCAACATGGGGCGGGAGGAGAATAGTGCCAACACTGGCATTCAACTGAGCGTTCTTTGAGACCCGAACAGGGATCTCGCCAAGGCAGGATAAGGCAGCCAAGCGGGAAGCAGCATCCTGAGAAGGAGCAGCAACGACACGTGTACCGAGACGAGTGGGGTTGAAGGTAACAGAGGCATCCACGGAATCAACGAGATGTCGATGGAGGGAGAAATCATCAGGAGGCGCAGAATCAAGAGGGAGATCAAAATATTTGGCCCACGAAGCGGGACCAAACAAAGCTTGATAGGTATCAGAACGGGAAGGAATCGAGCGAGGGCGGCCATGACGAGGGCGGCGTTGAGAACCCCCAGAGAGAGAGGGGTTAAAAGGCGCAGTAGTTACAACTAGAGATGGAGTCACGGCAGGGGACGAGGTAGTCACCACTGGGGGCTTGGGGCTCGACCCAACCACAGAGGAGGGAGGGGAGCCGAGGGGAGGAGTCAGAGATGCCAAAGGAGGAGCAAGGTCGGGGCCCAATGCAGCGGAGGCTACAGAGCCTGGTCTTCCATCACGGACCGACTCGGGGGGGCTTGGTCGCCCACCCCACGAGTCTGAGAAGGTAAAGGAGAAACAGCAGAAACAGTAGATATCATCGCTACGAAAAAAACATTCATTCCCGAATGTGCCCCCACACCCACCATGGAGCCACAATTACAGGCTGGACACCCAACAAGAAGCTATCACTGATCACGCCGGGGCCTCCTAGGGGTGCGTCGTGAGTATATGCCCCACAAACGCCACCTTAAGAATCGACAGTCCGTCGAGATCGGGTTCAGTGACGAAAGGGGGATTGACAATAAAAGGTTCCCCTTGCTCTTGACGTCGGGTACTACAGTTCTACGGGTGCAAGAGTATGCCTCCTCAAGCACCCGGACATCAAAATAGAAGAAGTCCAAAGGAATAACCAAAACAAGCAAAAGGTCAGCAGGAAACTGCAAGCAGATTGGAGAAAAGGGAGAGAAAAACGAAACAGAAGGAAAAGGAAAAGGTGCTCAGCACAATTGGAGAGGACGGCAGCAGGAGCACAAGGTTATAAAAGGACAGGACTGTCCCAAGGAGCATCACACTCCGGCAGCCGCCCACTAAGCCCCCCCTCACGGCAGCAACGAGCTGAGCGGGGAGGGGAGTATTTTCATCAAAATAATTGCCCAGAGTAAGGCAACAACCACAATGTCTCTTAACACTACACAACCAGAAGTTAAATTGCCTTTGATCAGTTTACCCACATTCTCTGGAACAATGGGTGAAAGTTGGGATAACTTCTGGAATATATTTGTTGACTCAGTGGATTCTAAACCTACAATCACAAAAGCCAACAAATTCACTTACAGGGTCAACTTGGTTATCTTGAGATGATTTTGGAGCTTAGTGTCCCCATGGCCCGGTCTTCCACCAGGCCTCCTTTTTTCTTACACCACCCCTCCAAGGAAGCAGTCCATAGCAGCTGTCTGACTCACAGGTACCTATTTACTGCTAGGTAACAAGGGCATCAAGGTGAAAAACATTTTATCCATTTGTCTCCGTCCTCCACCAGGGATCGAACCCGGAACCTCAGGACTACGAATCCAAAGCGCTGTCCACCCAGCTGTCAGGCGCCCTTGATATCGATATCATTGACTAATATTGATAATGACTAATGATATCGATTATTAGCACCCTGAGGTCAACTTAAGGGTGAAGTTGAAAAGGTGGTATCAAATGTAACACTAAATACTGATGGCTATGATCTTCAAGTCCATCTCCTTAAGCTTAATTATACTGACACAGAAAGAGCTGTTACACACTTAGTCCAAACATTTTTGGACTTACCATCTACAGTTGGAACCACTGATTCACTCACTCCAAGCCTTTAGGTTGGAGATTGAGTCATTACTCAAAGCACTCAGCCAAAAGGTTGAAGTAAATAATGCTGATTGGTTAACTAAAGTTATCATACATTGCAAATTACTCAGTGAAACACTGAATAAGTTGTGTACCTTGCATAACAAATCTTGCCTGACAGTTCAGATCACTGAAGGAAGTTTTATGCTCCATTGTAGAAAGACAGCGAGCAAATACAGGGGGCAAAGCATCAACTAAACCTTTGTTAGCCACCCATAATAAACCACCGAGTACACCAGTGAACAGTGTATAACAGTGAAATCTAAAAAATCTACCTCCACTCCAAGGTGGAGGTGGGCAGTGTGGGCACATATGCAGCGAGTCCCTTCAAACCTACAGTTACTGTCACCCAAGACAGAGACTCCCAAAGGTGCTGTAGGATGGTTTGCATGAAGGCCCCTTCTAACCATTCCAAACACTTCAGATACCTTGGTGTGTTGTGCAGGCTTCTGTATCAGGTTAGGTCTGCGCTGGTGGGTTTTGACGGGTTCGTTCGGCATGGATATCCTCCTCTCTAGTCGGGTCATGGGTGCTGGGTTGTAAACCTGCTCGGACGAGGTGATCCTTCATGGACTTACCATAAAGTCAAAACCCCCCGTCGCCTCCCTCACCCCAATCACTGTTACTAACTCACAATGTTTCTACCACACAGGGAGCTGCAGCTGTGGGAGACCACGTTACTGTGTATAATCATCGCTGTGGGGGTAGTGGGAGGCATTACCTCCACAGTCACTGCTGTCATTGACATAGTCAACCCAGATTCCTTCAGCACTTCTTGCTTTGCTAACTTTAGCCCCAAATGAATTGCCTCACCAATGTGTACACTTTTTACCCAAAATAAACTGTTCAATTTTATTATTAAACATAATACCGCTGATTTGTTTACGACAATTAGTAGTTATAGATTTAGTTTAATTCAGAATAAGTGAGTTAAATAAGTGAAAATAAATAAAAACTGGTGAGAATTTGAATGTAGTAAGAAAGGGGCGAGAGGTTTCACTGTTTCCAGCCAGTGCACATCAATGTTATAAGGTGCTGTAGGGTCAGGTAAGAATATAAATTGCTTGTGAATGGATATCATTATATTATCAGTGTATCACATTTAACTTACCTACACTTGGTGGTTGTTACGGCCACATGGGACGAGTAACCGTGTTCTCGTTGGAGGACCCTTCTTGTTGTATCCGACCCCGAGTCTGTAGTGGCTTTCAGGGTATTGGCTAGGTAATACAAGAATTAAAAAGGGGGGACTGAACAAAACAGTTTCCTTCACCAATATATTCACCAACACCATAAATAGAGATATAAAAAGGGGGATATGGGATATTACAATACGTATATACAAAGGTGTCGCTTTCACACAGGACACTTAAAACGCACACAATGCAATGTTCGACAATCCCAGTGTTTCCACCACACTCAGTTCCTTTTCCAACCGTACTGGGAAACACTGGCGAGTTTCACCTTGTACTTGGGCCAATCCACAGACAGCGTTACGAGGTGTCTTTACCCTACTATCGCCCTCCAACTGCACGCTGGCAGAGGACTTCAACCACACGCTGAACGGGGTCACGCCACCTATATAGGGGTAGCTATTCCCTGGCAGGAGTCCCTAGCGACAAGCTAGCAACACTCCTCTACAGGCACCTCACTGTCGTCAAGTCCTCTCCCAAGCCAATTCCCGGGTATGCCAATCTCTATCCACACTGCGTAAATCCAGCAGCCAACACACTGCTAAGATCGGTGGCGGCTAACGTGATCTTCTTCCAGGACCAAGCAGAGAGTACGTGGATTTTCCAAGGCAAACTGCTGTCCACAGTACACCTGCTGCCCCATGTCACCTCTGTGAACACAGACACGTCATCAGTTAAATGGATGGTACTGGTGAAACCAGGAAGTGACACTTACTCATTGGGAAATTGACATTGTACTCTGTAGCACAACAGATGGCGCTGGTCTTGAGCCGCCACCTCACCAGAGGTTATCCACAATGATCTCACTTGCTAGCAAAGGCAGGAATCTTGAGCCATATGTCACTATCACATCACCACCAATAGATGGCGTTGTCTACGTAGAATCCAATTCCCAGGGAGTTCAAGTGCAGACTCGTAGATGGCGCTAGAATTACCAGGCAACACTCAGATGGTGGTGACGAGTCCGTAACAGGGGTTCCAAGTGATTTTGTGTCCAGGTGGGAACTTTTGCCAAGTCATTTGGGACTCTAACTTTTTTCAGTGAATACTAAATTTGCCAGTCTTTGGGAACTTAGTTTTGAGTGAGTCCCATTGACTTCAAGTTTGTTAGGATCTACTGACTTTACGTTGCCCTGTACTAGACACTTTAACGTTGTGGAGTCTAGACTGAAATTAATAGTTCTCAGGAATTTTAAAGTTTTGATATTTGGCACATTGATTGTATCTTAACCACATTACCTTAGACGCACTTTACCTGCCGAATAGTGAACCAGTGTTGCCTAGTTCTCATGTACTAGGCAACACTAATACATGAGAACTAGTATATAGTGACTAGTGTTGCATAAACATGCAACACTAGTCACTAGTTTATGTAGACTAAACTAGTGACTAGTTTAACTTAACAGCATCTAGTTTAAACTTAGTGCACCAATGTTGTTGAGTTTCATGTATCTTAAGCTTGACCTGTTTAACTCAGTAGCATCTACCTGAAGTTTGAAGTGTCCATGCTAATTAAAGTTCATGTATTTGTAAATAATATTTGTAAATAGCTTTAGTTACGTGTGACACGTTCAGCCAAGTAAACTGGTGGTTCTTTAACCGTAGACTTTCTATATCCCGAAACCAACTGGTTGACGTTATGATGTACTTGAGGCCAAGTTCGCCCAATACTGAGAGTGGAGAATCTTCACCACGAGACTTGTATGTGTACGTAACAACTGTCTCAGAATAGCAAGATCAGAATGTGTTGCCCTGTTAGTGTACAGCAAGGTTAGAATGTGTTGCCCTGTTAGTGTACAGCAAGGTTAGAATGTGTTGCCCTGTTAGTGTTCAGCAAGGTTAGAATGTGTTGCCCTGTTAGTGTATAACAAAGTTAGAATGTGTTGCTTCTTACTGTATAGCAAGGTTAGAACGAGTTGCCTTTCACTGTATAGCAAGGTCAGATTGTGTTGCTCTGTTAGTGTATAGCAAGGTAAGAATGCGTTGCCTGTTAGTGTATAGGAATGTTAGACTGTGTTGCCCTGTGTTACGTGGTGGCCTTGAAGTGGCAAGAGTTACAGTCAAACAACGGAGATGCGATGTTATGAGATACTATAACTATCGCTGCGGGGTCCTCGCTCCCCAATACTTGGGTGCCACTGACCACGCTGGGAGCTCCCCAAGTCTTACCACGAGTTGAGTTGCTACCCTCGACCTGGCCTTGTACCCGTGGCGAGTGGAGAAACCTTGGCTCACCCTGCAGGTCATCGAACTTGTAGCCTGCAGCACCTCCACCGAGCATGCCTACCGTAACACAAATAATACCGGGGAATACGGCACTCACCTGAGAACTTCATCTGATTCAGTCACCAGCTGAGTAATCAGTATCCGCGTCCCAGCAACGCTTCACAGTAATCTTATAAAGTAGTGCCAGCTAAGGACATCTTTCCAAGTGTAGTGTGGTGCAAATACTGAATAAACTTTCATGGAATGCTCAAGAGATGGAGGACACATGCAAACACTATGGTAAAATATAACAAGTTTACTAAAGAAAACTACAACAAACATCAAGGTAAATAAACTGTAGAAACTGGCAGGTGTTGGCAGCACTCCTCTCGCCGTGTCTAGCAACTCAGTCCCAACCCGTTCTCGCAAATTTAATAAGTCAATATTGACTTATTAAATATGTGCATAGGTGACATACTTAACATAATAGATACCCTTAAAAAGATTCATAGAAAACACCGACCTTACCTAACCTTGTTAGTATCTTAAGATAAGCATCTTATTGCTTCGTAATTACAATTATTACCTAACCTATAATAGGTATAGGTTAAGTAATAATTGTAATTACGAAGCAATAAGATGCTTATCTTAAGATACTAACAAGGTTAGGTAAGGTCGGTGTTTTCTATGAATCTTTTTAGGGGTATCTATTATGTTTAGTATATCACCTATGCACGTAGTTAATAAGTCAATATTGACTTTACGAATTTGCGAGAACGGGTTGCTCAGTCAGCTGGGCGAGTTAAAGGTCCGGCGTCCACACTCTGGCGCGGCTCTGCCTCTCGCAGCCTCATACAGGTGATAATGGTATATATCCTGCCCTCACACTGTCGAAACTCGGCTTCCTCGTGCTCCACGGGAGTACACTAGTCTTCTATAATATCTGTAATATGCTTTAGGCTGCTTGAATACACTGTACGAGGCTCCTGGACCTCCAATCTGGAGAGCTCACTTGACGCACGTCTGCGCTCAACAATGGTCCATGAAACTGAGCTCCTGGGCGCTTGCTAGCTACTGGTGCCACTGACCCGGTGACGTCACAACCCTGGGGTTGTCCCCAAGGGCCAAGACGGGCCAGGCCAGTCACAGGGTTGGCCCCAGGACCGTGACGGGTCAAGCCCATTTGAAAGGCTAAAGCTAAAATGATAAATTTACTCCCAATCAACCACTCTTGCTATTTGTCACATATATCAAAAGAATCCTTGCATCTCAGGGTACATGTAAGATGCAGAGATATGACTCTTACTGCTGGTCGAGAGTAGATGTAAGAGAGGGCACCATAACACCGTCTAACAGTCTCCGTGGTGCAGTGGTAAGACACTTGCCTGGCGTTCCGCGAGCGCTTTGTCATGGGTTCGTATCCTGGCCGGGGAAGATTTACTGGGCGCAAATCCTTAACTGTAGCCTCTGTTTAACGCAACAGTAAAATGTGTACTTGGTTGTAACAACGATTCTTCGCGGTGGGGATTGTATTCCAGGACCTAGATTCAGGAAGCTCCGTGTATTTCTTCTTAAGTGGGTTTGCTACGAAGGTTCCTAAGTGTGCCCTAAGAAGATGCTTAGGTGCAATTCAATAACGTCCACTTAGGAAGAAATTTGTTGGTTCACCTGCGTGCCGGTAGAGATCACTACTGTGTTTCGTTTGGCCAATCAGAGAGCAGCAACATTCTTCATATTGAAGATTTAGCGCTGGCTTATCGGAGCTCTACTGCCTCCTATTTACGTCGAATTTTCTTATAAAATTAGTATATTTCAAAGTAAAACAATGTTTTTGCAACTTCTACAGCCAACACCGACATTGTAGTAAACAAATATGTTACATTTGTTGTTTACCTACGTAATTCTAAGAGATACTGTGTAGCTGTCCTTGTTGCTCGGAAGATGCGCTGACAATTATTATATATATTTACTAAATTTACCCAAGGGCCACTAACTATCTAGTGACCTCGAAGAGGACAGAAAGCCGGCGGCTTGTTAAAGGGCCCGCCAATTGTCTTAATTATATTTTTTAGCTGGAATTTGGCATTTACGGCTTCAGTGGATAGGCGGTTCCATGGGTTTATAGCCCTCTTGGTGGAAAAAAACTTCTGTTTTCAGTCCTACCTGAGAGAACATACTCTCCAACACTATATCTGTGATTGTCCTGTTATCAGTGACTTCATACCAAATGGTATGAGGTATTTTGAGCTCTGTAATTACTTCATACACTCAGGAATATTGGAAGATATTCATGTGCTGCACCCAGATTTTGCCAGTGGAGGCTAATAGATCAGCATTAAGTATTTTGTTCTCTCCTAATTCCATGTATGACTGGCCATCCTGTGAGGTGAGGATGTTGGATGAGCTTGTAGCTGGTTTTTGATCTACACTGTGTGGTCCTTTATACAGAATAGGGAAGCAGCACATTGCTGTGTATACCTAAACATGTTTAAAAATACATTGTTTGAGAGGAGTCTTGTAGAAACTGGTAAGAGTAATTATAATATAATGTTTCCATGATTCAGTGCTTACCTCTTGTGAAAATCGCGAAGAGTTGTTTAGTCAGAGTTGATTTATTTTTTGTACTGAGGCTGGTATTTTCTAAATTGATTCCATGTACAGTATGTCTAACCATCCTGTGAGATGGGAGTATTAGATAAACTTATAGCTAGTTTTTTATCTACATTGTGTAATATTCCATATAGAATAGGGTAGCAGCACATTGCTGTGTATACCTAATCTTCTTAATAAAAAAAATCAGTAATAAAGATTTTAAATTATAGTTTGTATTATTACAAATACCGTACTGTATTATCCTTATTAAATCATGTTGACCATGGATCATTAAGATCTCATGTTGATATGTAATAGTCATATTTCTTTTGAACTGCTAATCCATGCTAATCATTCATTAAATTGTGCATTATGTCTCAATTTTTCACTTCCTTGGATATACTGTACAGTATAAAAAGATAGGATAAAAATAAACCAGTAATATTTGTTTCATTATATTTTTCATTTAAATAACTGCATCAATATTTTTACAGCTGACAGGATTTGTTTTACCATACAGGTGCATTATTTGTTAAAAAAAAATTTGGTTTATTGTTACACACAATGGTGCTACATAGCCTTCCCAGCTTGGTGCCTTCTTTTAATACTTACTGATTAAAAAATAAATAATAAATACATTTTATTCAGGAAAAGTGCATACAGTTGATTTACAAACATAATGTTGGATTTATAGACAGAGCTAGTACATACAATACCTAAAGCCACTAATACTCATAGCATTTCGGGCAAGGTGTGGGGGAAAAACACTTAGACTAAAACTTAATAGTAATCGGGATTAGGTATAAATTGTGTTGAGAGAAGGAGTAAAAAATACAAAAATGGGGGTTAGCATAGCATAAATCAGCAATTGCACATGTTGGTGAACAGCGTTGTTTAAAAAATAGCAAGACATGGGTTGACATTTAGGAGGTAAGTTAGGTTACATGGAGTTAATTAGGCAGTACTTGGTTTAACTGTTAAACTGGTTGAGAGAGGTACAGCCTTTGACATGATTCTGGAGGTCATTCCACATTCTGGGTCCCTTGATTTGTAGAGCACTTCTAGTTTGGTTACACACAGCTAAATTGAGTAACAGGAAGAGGTCTTGGACACAAATTTGTTTCATGCTAAATGTAGAGGAATCAGCTGAGTTTTCCTCAAATAAAATAAGTTGCCTTAGCTTATAAGGTAAATAAAATAAGCATTTCTCAAATAAGTAGCTGCCTCACCTCACTGCCTTACTGCTACATAGCCTTCCCGGCATGGTGCCTTCTTTTGATAATTACTTGTTCCACACCCAAATTGTATAACAGGAAGAGGTCTTGGACCCCTACTTCCCTCTTTTTTTTAATAGTCTATAAAGTCATAATTATAGCTTTAAGTATTCAATGAATAAAGTTTTTGACATTTTTACCCTTCTCCTTACCTAACATCATTTGTGCAGCATATTTTTATTTTATGTCTCACCCAGATTTAATTTCAAAATAAAACCAAACTAAATAAATTAGAAATGGGTATGTATAGCTAAGGTACACCCTTACTACTAGGTGAACAGGGGCATTTGGTGATAGTAAATGATCCCATCAGGCAGGGCTCATCACCTTCTCTCATATTTCATGTTCACCAGTGTTTATTTACTTAATAACTACGGGTATAATATCTTGCTATTATAAAACTAATTCTACTATCATAAAAGACATATTTACTTTAAGTTTCAAGCAGAGAATGCATATATAACTAACACGAAGGACTCCTCTTCACTAGATTCAATTTTTATAATCTTTTGTTTATGTTCCAAAATC